TCCGTGCTTTGAACAGCCTTAAGGGCGTGAGCACGGCCCTTGGATTTGCGCTTCATGTTGCTGGTGAATCCACACACCATTGCTGCAAAACAAATAAAGCAAAAAGTCAGAAATGAAAGTTAAAATACAAAATTGAGGTAAGGCCGAGCTCGACTTACCGAGTTCGGAGTTTGGCCTTGAAGCTTCAACCGGACGTATCAAGGGGTTGTAGTCTAACAACCCAGATTCTAGAAGCAGCTTGTCAGTCACCAAAGTTCCGATCTTCCGGCCCCTTGGGAAGTGATCCTTGTAGTACTTGAGGGTGTCGAAGGAGGCTTGAGTAAGCTCGGGAATTGGTCTGATCGACACTGCACAAGACAAAGGAAGGTTCAAGTTAGATATNTTGTAGTACTTGAGGGTGTCGAAGGAGGCTTGAGTAAGCTCGGGAATTGGTCTGATCGACACTGCACAAGACAAAGGAAGGTTCAAGTTAGATATGAGAAGCAAAGGGTTAAAAGGCTTAGAGCTACAAAAAGAAAGCAAGAGCGACCTCGTACCTAAATTCCCAAACCTAATAGGTACATCAAAGAAGGGACGACCTGATTCGTTCTTTGCCAGCCACTCCCCTGAGGCAAAGAACCATTTCCCCACCCATCATTTGATGGAGGTCAGCCATTTGACTATACCACCTGCGCCTTTCCTTGCGCACATATAATACCGACCTGGCTTCTTAGCTATTCTCTTGGCTTCGAAGCATCCAATAAGCTACTCGACGTTCAGCAGCTCGGCCTCGTCCTCATCCCGAGCTCGCAACCAAAAAAGAATGGCTAGGGAAAAAATGACACCCCATCCATTGGGGGCCACTTGAGCAGGAGCCAGACCAATTCGATTTAGGAACTCCTGGGCAAAGGGGTGAAGAGGAAGTCTGAGGCCGTACTCAAACATTTTCAAGTAAAGAGTGACCCACCCCTCTGGGGGGTTGTCAGCTCTTTCTCCTTCCTCCGGAATTCTAAGGAGGATGTCGTTTGGAATTTTAAACCCCCTACGGAGGGGTCCGAGGTAGTGCTCGGGCATTTTTGAAGGGTATTCCAAACCCTGGCCCGAGGTGGAAGTGTCACTATCCTCCCCATCGTCCGAAAATCTAAAGTTCTCTATCTCTTCCAGCTCGGACTCTAACCTAAGAGCTAAGTCCTCCCCAGAGTCACTTGGTTTGGGGGGTGAACTGCTTATAGTCCGACCTGCGCTTCCTAGGCTATCACTACTGGAAGGGGAAGACAAGAAAACTACCATATTTGAAAACAAGAGTAAAATAAGAGCGACTGACCTACGAAGGGTTCGAGCTGGTTTCAGATCGAACTCCAGAAATTCAGGGAACGTAAGGTTTGACCTGAAGTCTCAGAACTATTTATAGCTAATCGGAAAAACCTCTACGCCGTACACGTGTAATGAACGAGTGGCCAGGATCATCTCGAAATTCGTAACGACGGAATACTTGAGTACTCCGACAACCTGACAGATCGAAACATCTTCCGCAACGGTCATATTCTCTTTACGAATTAAAAGTCACCACGTGTCCAAAATCGAATCTGATCAACTTCTCTGCCAAGTCGAGATCGAACCTGACAGAGAGGGGGCCAATGTTTGGGGTAAAAATATCTTGGACACGTGGAGGACGCTTATTGGTGTTCAAGAATTAAAATATCTCAGGTCCACCTCAAACCTGCCGAAGAGGTCGGGTTCGCCCATTGGGAAAAGGCTAAGTATACATGCCGAAGTCCAATCTGACTGGGGTTCGATCTGCTCGGAACCCAACAGGTCCGACATGAGAAAAAACATGTACCCGCCGGTCGTGAGTACTGTCGGATCCACCACCTATAAATAGACGGCCTCATTTCACGCTAAGGTATCGAATCTCACCTCGAGCTAAATACTGAGTCCGACCTATACTGACTTGAGTGTCGGAGTGTTTACCCTCTTGTGCAGGTCCACTCTTGTGTTCAGGTCGAGCCGGGGACCGGGTTCGAGCTTGGTTTGTAAAGCATCGTTGTGCAGACCTTTGCATAAACAATTTTGATAAGGAAAAATAAGAGAATAAATAAGTTGATGGAAAATTTAAAAACTAATTTTAAATTGTACCACCACTTACTCTTTTAAACCTACCAAAAAAAATTTAATAATTTCTCGTCTTTTTAGTCTAATTATTGGCGTCAATTAATAATTGTCTAAGGTATATTATTAATTTTGTTTTTTTAGGTGACTAAGGTATATTATTATAAAGTTTACATCATATATATTATATGAGTTTGACTATTTGAAGTTATGTCACATATAATAATTAGTATGGGACTAGAACATAAAATTCTCATGTTTAAACTATTTTTATACCTATAAATATTATCATTATTATTTTATGTTTTAGTTTCTTATTTTATTTTTATTAGTGTTATTGTAAATTTAATTTAGAATCTAAATAGAGATACTATAAAAAAAAATTGATGGATTATATGTCTATTGAATAAAAGTAATATTAGTTTCATAGATATTTTATATAACTAATTTAGAAAAACTATCGACAAATTCTAAAAAAATAACAAATTGTTGAATATTCAAAATTAAATTTGTAGCCCAATATGATTAAAAAAAATCAAAATAAATAACCTAGCTTCCTCAAAATCGTACTTTTATTTAATTACTTGTAAATTAGTATTAACTCTCTCTCAAGCATCTCACGAGTATGAAAAAAAAGACATAGTTTGATTCCCACCCTACAACTATTGAACCAAAAGGAAATAAAGTCTTTTGTTTGGACCCACCTCCCCTCACCTTCCACAAGTCATCCCTCAATAATTTCTCAGTACTAAGAATACTCTTTAAAAGATCATGGTGCAAAACTCATGAAATAACAATCTCCCACACATTAGATTTAAAAGCAAAATAAGTGATCATTACAATACAACAGAATTTTTCTACACTGAAGATCAAGGTGCACACATCTAACTACTTGTACAAGCTCTTCATCCCAATTCTTTTATCACTTGGATTGAACCTAATGACAACAAGACGAACCAAACCTCCTTTGAAACATTGCATGCACCATCAACTATCCGAGTCGGACTATACACACAAAATATAACTATCTTGATGTTAGGAGTCAATGCACTACAATTCAAAAAGTTACTCACAGCGATTTCTACTGACTAGCTTCATTCGATAGTGAGAACGCAACCCATTTGTCATCACTCATTGATAATATGGTGCTGTCCTGGGGAAATTTCATATTCGGTTCGCGGGGACATACAAAAATCCTTTTGGAAGATGAACTCTTCCCAGCTTCTAGCTTGGAGATTAAATTCAAAACATAGTTGTTGCTCTCAGAAGGAACATCATGTTGAGCAACGTTTTGAACTTCAGAACCAAGGTCACAAGATGGAGCTCTCTTTCTTGTTGAGATGCTACAAGGCCCTGAACATTGAATATAAGAGTATTACCAGCACAACAAATTTCTAAATGGAATAAGAGGATGAAATGTATAACATGTTTGAACAAGTTTTATATACCAAGTTTGGATAAGGGTTTATGCATGAATTTATGCTGTTCGGAAATTTTTTTATACAAGCTGTCGATGTGTCATGCATCAGAAATGGATGGAAATACATGTAATAGCCAAGTAAAAGCACATAAAATGTAATAATGTGAGAGGACAAGTCACCTCCGTCATTAGGTTGTTTCTCAATTGAAGGACTGGATCTCACTAGTTCCATATTCGTGCTGACGTTGGATTGCGAGCTAGAAGAGACGACTTCGACCTGAGAAGCTTGTCCTCCTGGAGATGCAATCAAATGATTCTTGCCTAGATCATAAATGCACAAATGATAGTAAATATTGAAAACTTGCTTTTTAACTGAGTAAATAACTACCAGACATGTAAGAAGCACTCTTAGATATGATGCTTTAGTCATGACTCTCAAGAACCACCATGGCATCAACTTATAATAAATTGGACATTCAAATCCCATAAAATAAATAAATATGCATGTTTAAGTTATTAAAAGTCATATTAGAAACCAAACCATAAACAATCAATTAAAATACCTACTATAAATACTGTAGCCAATAACACTTACCCTCTTTTAGAGAAATATAAGCAACTTTCGCTGCACTCATCTCAGCTTGTTTCTTAGTTCTCGATTGTTGCCCTTCAAAAGTTTCTTCTCCTACTTTTACAATTGAAACAAAAATCGGTGCATGAACTTCACCAGATTGCAATGTACTATACGCTGGTAATCCTAAACCTCTTTTTTGGGCCATTTCTTGCAAGAAATTTTTGTAAAGACCAGGATTCTGAAATTTGTAAAAATATATATACATATAAATATGTGAGAAAGTGTAGATATTTCAGTTGTGCAAAAATCGTATACATGAGCATGTCAATAACTTATTTGCTTTATTCATGAAAGTATCGATTGGAATACTAGCCTCTTGCGCTCCATCTTGACATGACAGCAAAGCAACTTTTGCAACTGCATTTTCAGCATCTTTCAATGTAGCAAAAAGTTCTGAACTTTCATAAGTTCTTCCACCAATTTCCACTTTGCACCTGAAACGACTAGCATGAGGTGGGCCATCACGTTCACATGTGTATATAGGTAACGTGAGGTTTCTCTTCTGAGCAAAATTTTGCAATTGATTCTTGTGCAAATGTTGCATGCCTGTGAGCGTCAAAATAAAACTCAAGTTATGATATTAATTCACAAATGAGAAGGATAGTATGAAATCCAAATTTTGAGACAATGTAAGATAAACTAAGAAAAACATGGAAGAACTAAAGAATAACAAGAATTGGTCATACTAATTAGTTACATAACTTTCCCAAGCATTATAGATGTCTTTAGCTTCCAATCAGAAGTTCCTCCCCTTACTAGTCCCCAGTTCCCCATTCTAACTAAAAAAATGCAACCAAATTAATCTGACCTCCCTAACTCCCTTAATAGCCTCAATTATGGTTTAGGGAAATTGATCATATAGTCTTGCTAGTTCTTCCCTCTCCTTAAGGTGGTTCACACTGATTGACTATTTGTATCAATACCCACAACTCAAGCTTTCACCTAGTCTCCTCCTTGAAATTAAGGGAATAAAGAGTGAATGGTAGAGAAAGTAACCCTAGAATACGTACTAATACTAGAATGACCGTGTCAAATGAATCAGCATCTCCAATTCAAACAAAATATATATTAAAGGCAGTGCATACTCCAAAACAGCAAAGACACTTGGTCAAGGGAGCTTCATTTTCCAAGGTTAAACTCCCCACTCCAAATCTTCCTTTTCATAAGCTATCTCTTTTTTTTTTGGATAAGAAACACTTTCATAAGAAGAACAATAGAACAGGAACAGCCTAAAGGAGGGGGGCCAAGACAGCCCCTTCCAAAAAAGAATCTAATAACAAAAAAACTCTCCAATTTTGTAAAATCAGAGAGAGGCTGTAATTATAGAAGAATTTCTAATTTCTAATGCACCACCAAGAAGCTAAAACCTGCCCACTATTGCAAAAAGAATCCCAAGAAGGAGTGTTTGTTCCTTTCCATCCAAACATTCCAAAGAAAAGCTCTGAAAGTGCATCTCCACAAAACTCTAGCCTTTCCATTGAAATCCCAACCGTGAAAACATTCTAATAACCAGCTCTCCACGTCTTTAGTCATACGTAATTGGACGTCAAAACATTGAAATAGAAGCTGCCAACCTTTTAAAACAAAAGGGCAGTGAAGAAACAAATGATCCAAAGTCTCTACCCTTTTCCAGCAAAGACAGCAAACCGACGGAGACAAAGACCATCTCGGGCATTTTCTTTGAAGTTTCTCATGGGTGTTCAGCGCTCGGTGAGCCAAAGACCATAGGAAAACCTTTACTTTCTTCGGGATAGGGTCCTTCCAAATGAAAGTTATCAAGGAGGACTTAAATTTGGGAGGGGTTTCTCTTAATTTCATATAGGCTGAATTCGTGGTGAAACGACCATTCTACTCCAGCGGCCAGACAACAGCATCTGATTCTTCTTCTAACACGAAAACCTCCAAACGTTCAACCATTCTCGTCCAGCATTCCAATTCTCTATCAAATAAACCTCTTCGAAAGCCTAGATCCCATGTTTTATAGACGTTACTCCAGCAATCTGCCACCACTGCTTCTTTTTTAAGGGAAATGGCATACAAGTCTGGGAAATCTTCTGCTAAGGTTGCCTCTCCATTCCATTTATCAAGCCAAAATCTGATCCTGCTACCTTTCCCTATTTTGAAGGCCAACTGATTAATAAAGGGAGGGGAAGTTTAGCAATGTCAAACCAAGGTCTACCTCTCGATTTACCTTTGGAATCTTTAGGCAACCACCCATGAGGATCAACTCCATAAATGCTAGAGATGACCTTCCTCCATAAAGCTTCACTTTCTTGGGAAAACCTCCATAACCATTTCATCAACAAAGCTATCTCAACCCTCTCTCATTTAACCAGATGCAACCCACACCTTGCCTTGCCACAAAGAGACCCCATCACTTTCTCCAACCAAACTAAAATAGAACACGAAATCTTAAAGATAGATATAAGCTGTAATAAGATACCACCGAATACGAACTAAATAAGAATCAACTTGCCTCTTTTTTAAAAACATCTTCCAAAAAACTAAATGCTTTAGCACCTTCTACAAACAAGATTCTGACAAGAAAGAGAAATGGGATCATGACCCAAAGAAAGACCCAAAGGAGATTTGTGGTACTTTTATTTGCTATTAGCATCTCAAATTTTTGTTGATAAGGCATTTTTTTTATTCACGACTTTTCCAAGTTTTTTTTATTCATCTCAAATTTGGAATTGCTGTTGATCCATCCAAAATATCAGCTATTAAACAATGGCCTATTCCTACTAGTGTTAGAGATGTTCAATGTTTTTTAGGGCTAGCATCTTTTTATAGGAAATTCATGAGACACTTCAGCACACTAGCCACGCCTCTAACCGAATTAAAGAAAGGCCAATTTAAATGGGATACCAACCAACTTAGGAGTTTTAATATCCTTAAAAAGAAACTTAGCACCACCCAGTTCTTGGTCTTCCAGACTTTACTCAACCATTCGAAGTGGCTGTGGACGCCTCAAGAATAGGTATAGGGGCTGTCCTATCTCAAAAGAACCATCCCATTGAATATTTCAGCGAAAAATTAACCCCACCCAGACAAAAATGGTGCACATATGAGCAGGAATTGTATGCCTTAATTAGAGCTCTAAAACAGTGGGAACATTATCTTATAGGCAAAGAATTTATCCTATTTACTGATCATTTCACTTTAAAATATCTCCAAACACAAAAAACCATTAATCATATGCATGCCCCTTGGATTGCATTTATTCAAAAATTTGATTTTGTTGTCAAGCACAAAGCGGGAGTTACTAATAAGGTGGCCGACACCCTAAGTCGATAAGCTAGCCTCCTAACGTTAATATCTGGCTAAATTGTGGCATTAGAACATCTCCCCGCCTCTTATGAACATGATAGTGACTTTCATGATACATGGCTGATGGCTTAAAGTGGAATTACACAAAGAAGTGGTAGACAACCTCACAAAGGCCACAGTTAATTACAAGATAGATGCCAATTCCCATAGACGTTCCAAAACTTTTGAGGTGCGCAACCTAGTCATGGCCCATTTGAAGAAATCTTGGTTCCCTAAAGGCACTTATAATAAACTCCAAGACAAGAAGATTGGGCCTTTTGAAATCCTGAAGAAATATAGGGACAATGCTATTAGAGTTAATCTACCCAATGACATCAATATACATCTAGTTTTTAACATAGCAAATATCTATGAGTACCAAGCCCCAGACTCATTTCAGCTGGCTGTTTAAACTCAAGGTCAAGTTTCTATTTAGAGGGAGGGAATTTGATGTAATATCACAGAGTTTATTTTCTATTTAGGTTCAAGTAGCCTATTCCGTTAAGAAGTTAGTAGTTAGGATTTTAGTTTTCGGTTATTTCTGTTTCTTAAACTAGCCGTTAGCCATTTTGCCTTTAAAAGGCCTTGTCCTTCCCTTTGTAGATTCATTCAGAATTTTAATAATATTTCATACTTTGGTATTACACAAATATGTTTTTAGATAAGAAACTCGCATCTACCTCCAAATGACATGAAGTTGTTGATCATATAGCATTTAAAGAGTTAGTAAAGGAAATAAAGTAAATCATACCATATGCATAACATGGTCCAATAAACCAATATGTGCCCAATGCCATAACATAAAACTGAAGCAATCTTTATTAATGTAAAGGAGAATAATCGTAATCCTTTCTCACCAGTCAATTTAGTGAATCCTTTGTCGATGTCATCATCCACAGGAGACTGATTGGTATCTTGTACGTTTGGTTGGACTGACTCTTCAGTAGTACACTTGATATCCGTATTATAATTCATGACGGAAGAATCTATAAGAAGAATCAGACCACATTAACAAATGTAACTATAAGTATCCTAGCACAAACATAATCAATCAGAAAATAATTTTATGACTCAAATACAAACGATAACAATTATTTTCAAGGACATGAAGATAAATACTAAAAAGCTTGATAAACTAAACACTTAATGCAACTTTTAAGACCTTTGGTAGATTCCTCAATTTCAGAAGTTTCATTTGCCACCTCAAGCTTAGCTTCTGGTCTCCATGGGGAAGAAAGTTTGTCGTCCAGCTTAGTTCTTGCATCAAAAGTGCCTGCAAGAAAAAGAAAGTGACACCAAAATTTTAAGTATTCCACATCCTTGTGAAGCAAAAATTTTATGGATGAGCTCCTTTGGTGATTGAAATATACAAGACAATACAAATTATTGTCCCAAAAACAAATTCTATCTCTCTTGCACACTTCGAAAGAAGTTCAGTTATGAAAAAGGACTTTGGATTTGACAATCCAAGGCCAAAGAGTACCTCCATGATAGCAACCTCCCTCCTTGGGGAGCCAACCAAAGGGATCCACAACAAACTTCCCCAAACTAACTTTTCTCCATGGACCCTCCTCCTTTCATGTATCTCCAAAACCACACCAACAAAATTTGTCTCAAGTTTTCCACCTCCCAGACGAACTAAAATAATATGGAGGGCGTTCCACTTCCACTTGATTAGATGACAACCTTGATCAAAGTTAGCTTCTCGCCGGATAAAATCTCCAAACAAAATCTTCAATAATATTTTCCATCATTTTCCAACTTTGACAGGAACATTAAACAAGGAAGAGAAAATGGTTGGGATGTTGACCATAACCGATTGAGCTAGGGTTAACCTAACACCCTTCAAAATAATACATTTAGCAAGTTTACCACTACTCTTATCTTGTCTAGGATTAGATCCCAAAAGGTGAAGTAATTTATCGTTTCCACCTAATGTTAGACCAAGGTAAGAAAAGGGCAAAACATCAAACTCACAGCCAAATCTAGTAATTAGTCTTCTAACTTTAATTTCTTCAATGYTAATCCCGATTAAAAAGAATATAGAACATGTTGATAAAGAAACCTGAATCCTTGGGAAGCCAACACCAATTATCCAAGATCCCATCTATATTAGCTAAAAGTCACAATATTACCTGCATACTGAATGTTGAGACATGAATTAACTAGATACTAAATTACTAATCTTAAACCCCTCCACAAAACCATCCTCTCTGCTTTCAACAATAGAAATGGCTAAAGAAATCATCAACAATAGTGAACAAGAGAGGGGATAAGAGGTCCCATTCGCAAGTACCTCTAGAGGTGAGAATTTTAACTCCAAGTTTTCCATTAACAATGCAGAGTCCTCTAGTCCACTTTCTTCGCCTGGTCCTCAAAGCCCTCCATTATTTTCAAATCTTGAAAAATTATGGTTGAATGACAAATCATTTATTGTTCTAGGATTGCCCTTTACGGCTTATACTATTATAGTCTTAAACATTAAATGATTGCTTCTTAAATATTTAACAAATTGACACCATGGAACTTTCAAATAGGTTCTCGTAAAGTAGCAAGTAGATCAAAAAATAATTGCATACATACACAATGTAAAATGTAAAAACGATTCTTACCCAAATGCGAAGGCAAGGATGGTTGTGGAAAAGAAGATATACTGAGAGATGGCTGAGGAAATTGTGAAATGCAATGAAGTTGTTCTGGCGGAGGAGATGACATCGGAAAAAGTGGTTGGGGTCGATGCTGCTTTGGTTGCAATGGTGGTTGCGGTTGCAGTTGCGGTTGTGGTTGTGGTTGTGGTTGGGGACAAGAGGGTGAGGAAGGAAGAGAGAAGAAGTCAAAAGCAAGTTTAGCAGCCTCGTTTTGAGCTTGCTTAGAAGACTTACAAGGAGTCTGAGAGCGAAATTCCTTGTCATTGACAGTGACTATGGCTTCAAAGCGCGGGTCATGATCTTGACCTTGTTTAAACACGGAATACTCCGGTAACTTGCATGATTTCCGATGACAAAGCTCTTGAAGCTTGCTTTTGTACATGATTCGTCTAGTAATTGAATAACCTTCAACCAAAAATACTTACTCAGATAAAAAGAAGAGAACCTAGAATCAAAAAGACGATCGAATGCAAAGACCATTCATTACATTTCGAGTAGCAATGTTTACTCTACTCCCCAACTTCAACTTGGTTCAGTTCCCAAATCTGGAATTCAATTGAGTAAGAATTAAGAAAACAAATAAATTTATATTCTTTCCATACTTTTGATTTAAATGCTATTTTCTCTCTCCAAAGTGGTCCCCCTTCATTTAGAATTTTATTTTTTTTAAGACGCAGGGACTCCAACTTTAAACAAAGTTTTTACTTTTAGTACCTTAATGATTCAGTTCTATTGATTTTGAGTTACTATTGTTTATTAAATTTAATGAATGTATAGTTTCCAATTTATGAGATACTAAAATTCTTAAACTGAAACATTGATCTCATTAATCAGTACGTGGTTAGATCAATTAATGTGATTGTCACTTTATAAATGAACAAAATCAATAGAAACAAACAAAATGAAGATGAAGAACAAAACATTCTACGAATTCCTTAAAATTGAACTTATCATCAACTAATATATCATTCATTTTTATAATCAACAAAATTCTTAGAACTATCCAAATAACCTTAATAATAAGCAACAAGAATAAGACTGAGCATTCTGCAAAATAACCAAGATTTGAAAAACTTAAGAAATTTTGTTGTGAGAATTGTTTTATGAAAATAACCAAGTAGGTATCAATTTAATAAATTAATGAAAAATACATAATAAATTAATGAAATGCCACAAATAATAACCACTTCAATAAATTAAATGAAACAACCCGTATATAAAAATAAAAAATGAAATGAGGATGAACAATACCAACCAGATTTAATTCTTCATCTTGGCCATTAGACTTGTCTTGAGCTATTTGAAAATCAAAGAGCCCCAAAATTATTTGGTTAGGCTCATTGCTCAAAAGTAGCCTTAATACAGATGAATGCCTTAAGAAGATTCTTTCAATATCGAGGCAATGCAGTCATACTTATTTTCTTGAAGTTATGATTTGACCATAATCAAATATTCTTCTCATCCAAGAAATCTAGATCGGATTGATCATTAATTATTTCTTCACGGATACTCGTGTAACTTGGGATGCATTTATATCCCCGACCTTTTCACTCCTTTTTGGAGTTTGCATCCTTTGTACAGTTTTTTCCTCTCAATTCATCGATGAAAAGTTTGCATCTTGTTTTCTATAAACCTTTAACAGCCTCGAGCTAGATCCAAGAGCAATAAAGGCTCCTTGGGAACATAAAATCATATTAGGAAGGATGTTCYTAAATCTATTGGCCAAAACCTTAGCAAAGATTTTATAAACAGAGTGATGGGTCTGAAATCCTTGACCTTCCTCACTCTAGGGTTTCTAAATGCCTGTAAGATCTGGCTTTGAAACCATGGTAAGATATTAAAAATGACCTCCATTAGAGTCTCCCTTACATAGTTTTGTTTGTGCAGAACCCTCAACCAAATAGTTAACAGTAGAGTAGTAGAGAGAGAAATCAAACAACAAACAGAAATGAGAATGAAATGATGAATATATAAAAGTTACCCCTTGTGAAGATTTGGTAGAGATGGCAATAGTTGAAGCAGCGTTCCTCCCTCCGGCGAATCGAAATAGAGAAAACGGAGAGAGAGTGATGGAACTGAACGCGACTGTGCTGTACTTTCTGGAAGATTGGGTTGTAGTTCGGAAGCCGATGCCCTCTGTTTTTGTTATGTTTGTACTTTGAAAGTATTCGGATTCTTTTCTTCTTTAGTACAAAATATTCGGATTCTTACCGCTACGAAAGTAAAGACTTTAAAAAAAAAAAAAAAAAAGAATCGTCAATTTTGGAACTGTGGATGACAAGGTTTAGATCTTTACCTCGAGGAGTCGAGCATTTTTCTTTTACGTTTTTCTATTTAATCTCTAATTTTTTTCAATTACATTATTTTTTTTATCTCTTTTATCTTTTAATATTCTCTAGTAATATCATTTTTTTTAATGTTAAAATTGATGATATTCTCAATTTAATAAAATAGAAGTTATTAATCCTACATTTGAGGTAATTTCGCCTTGGCATCCAAAGTCAAACTCATGTTTGGCTCGTGGATTTTGGAACTCCAAACTACCACTGAGTACTAAATTATAACCCATGGGTTAATTTTTTAAAAAGAAATTATTTTATTTTTCTTTTTTGTTTTTGTTTCCTTGGCTTGTTTTTGCCTTTTTAGACAAATTTTCTCCCTATCACCTTCTTCCATGCTACTTACAACATTTTTAAATTACAAAAAATAATCCATTTTAAATTAGCTAAATTCAAACTGACTAAACGATATTTTATTTTGAACTTATAAAATTAAATAATATTTCATTTTAAATTATCCATGGTAAAGAAGTTATTTGATTTTTAAGCATATGCAAAGCAACAAGACTATTATATTTGAGAACAGCTTACAAAGCGAGCGTAGCTAAGTGGTAATTGACATATATCTCCAATTAAGATATTATGAGTTTGATCCCCCACCCCATATATTGTACTAAAAAAACTAATATTGAAATAGGTTTTATTAAATCTATCTTTTTTGTAATTACGTGGACTACTTTCTTTACTCTTAAAACGTTTTATCATTAAATATTTTGTTGAACCTATTATATGAATATTAAATTTTGTTCCAAATTATTGTGAACCATTTAATTTAGTTTAAAATTTTAATTTGTGTGACTGATCCATGAGAAAAAAAAAGTAAAAAAAAATTATGGTTAAAAAATATATGAATTAAAAAAATTCAAAGTTTGAAATGATGAATTAATTGTCTTCTACAAAATTGCTTACAAATTTAATTAGATTACATTAGAATATTTTGCCAAAAAAAGGGAAAAAACAGCTAAAAAGTAATATTAAAAAATTAAATATAAATTTATAATATTATATAAATTTTTATCAGGAGAACTATTAGTAGTATAAATGAAAAGTATAAGTAGTATAAATGAAAAGTATAAGATAAAAGTATAAAACAATTAATTAAAAAAGTTATGAGTCTCGTTAATAAAAGACAAACAGGCAAAAAGTTGTAAAATAATTACAATTGTTGAGGGAAAAATCGAGCCGGATGCATGTCCATAATTGAGAGGTGTGTGACCACATACGGTTACGAACTGTAAACTGCCATGGCAGGGGATGTGCACCTCTGTCCCTCAAGAACGGGTAGCACGCCGAACCCGAGGCTTGCCTATGGCAGGCGACAGGTCCTAGAGCCACAGGTGACGACACCACCCGCTAGTTGTCGGGGACGTACACCCTTGGCAGACGATATACCGCGCAACACACCCTTGCCCACCATAACCACTGTCCTTCCTGGTCGGACGTTCGAGCCTATATAAGGAAGGACCCTCACCACCACCAAGTAAATGAAAAAACCTATCACTAATACTTAAGGTCCTATTTTCTACTCCGATCACTGACTTGAGCGTCAGAGGTCCTTAGGTTGGACACCGCACCAGCGTCGAGTTCTCTGGTTGCAAGTTCATTTGCTTTCAGGCGAAGCTACTCATCTGAAGGACACATGGACCTCTCTAAAATTCTCCATCAACAGTTGGCGTCATCTATGGGAACGAAGTTTTCAAGCGAAAACGAAAACTAGTTCTCTGCACTAAGACTTCACTGAAATGACTTCCGATAAGGAATTCTCTTACGAAACTCCATCGACGAGGAGCGTCGGCATGACAAGCCAATTGACAAGTCCGCCCCGACTCCCCCCACACAGTAGAAGGCAAGGAGAGCTTGGGACGCTGTCAACTCCTTTCGCCCAATCGGGCACCTCGAAAAATGAAAGGTGGGACATCCCCACCACAAGAGCTCCAGATTTCAAAACGAGATGCGGGCCACCAACGACCACATAACTTTCCAGATGGGGAGGTTAAACGAGGTCATCCTAGCCGACCGAACCTGAGGAACCCACCCCCTTCCGAGCGAAAGTGTTGTGGAGAGGGAGGTAGCCAAAAGAATGCCACGCGTCCTATCGGGGGAGAGACTCACTAACGGGACCCTCTCGCGACGCTCGGACTCCTTGGGGACGGGAAAGACCTTCGGGATAAGCTCAAAAGAGGTCGATACTGACACGAAGCAACCAGCTCCAACATGGAATCTCGAACCAGCACGGAGACGTCCAATCGACCAAGTGGATCTCAAATGGGGCTCAACCAGAAGGAGTTGGATCGGGTAAAGGAAGAAATCTTCAACCTGGTGAAGACCGAACTCGGGAGTAAAGATCATGGGCCCACCACTCAGTACAAACCCTCAAAGATCGCCCAAGAGCCATTCACGCCGGCATCCTAGTTGTCGAGCTTTCGAAGGGATTCAAGGGCGCAAGCATTGACAAGTATGATGGGTCAATGATACTATGGATCACGTCGCCTCGTACCATGCAGGGTTCAAAATGTCGAGAGACATGTCGACAAAATATTGACAAAATGTCGACATGTCGACTCAAATGTTGACATGTCTTTTTTTGTCCTTTTCTTCTTTTAAGGTTACTTTATTTTCCTCATCTTTCTACTACGCCACTGCAGTCTATAATTTCTCACAACCTCGATGATTGTAATCTTATTCTGTTCAATTAAACATTCGCATTGTAATACTGTATAAAGTATAACTAACAAGATTTGGAATTTATTTTATTGATAATTTCTAATCCAATATAGTCCTTAGTTACACAATTGAACAATGTGAAATATTGACATATATAAAGATTGAAAAAATTATAGAATTTTTTAAAAATAAAATATTATTATATACAAATAGTAGTGAAACATGAAGTAGAATAGGTGAAGGGACGTGAATCCCGGAGCGGAAGCGGACCATCGTTCATGATTTTTGGGAAACAAAATCAAAACGTTCATCAATGAAAATACAGGGGAAAACTAGTTTTTCCTTACCTTTAAAGAACTCTTCTTCAATGATTCAATCTACCGAACAACACCAAACGGTCTTCCGTGCTATCCTCTGAGTATCAGGATCGGGCTTGTGGGAGCAATTTGTTTGGACAAAGAGAGAGTTGAGAGAGAGCCTGAGCTTGAGAGAGATGCTGGGAATTCTTTGTTTTTTCTTTTGCACACTACTGCAACAAAACAGAAAAAAGAAAATGACGTGCGTCATATTAACTTCCCACTCCCCTGCAATTTTGCAGGGGAGTTTAATATTAATATTAATAATTAATAATTAATTAATCATATTAATTAATAAATATTAATTAATTATTAATCTAATTAATAATTAATTAACATATATATATATATATATATATCAAATAATAAGGGTAGAAATTCGAATTCACCACCTTTTAGTCATGACATATCTTAACTAGGAGGAGTGTTCACGAGTTGGGTTGGGTCGGGATAGGGGGTTTTTTAGGCCCAACCCGAATTTTCGGGTTGGCCATATGTGAAACTTAACCCAACCCAAATTGATGGTCAACCCAATCCATCCCACCATAAAATTTGGATCGGGTTGTCACACTTTTTTCCTTATTTATTTTGTTTATAACCTGGACAAAAAAATATTATACAAAAATTAAAATCATCTACTAGAGATTTAGGTTAGACTAATCTAATAGCTACTGTAGGGTTGTCTCAGTGAGAATCAAAACTTCCACTTCTAAAGAAAGCTTGGAAGTAGAATGATTTCAATGAAACAATAACTCCATATTAATAACAAAATTACCACAAAACCCATAAACAAAATAAGAATATAGATAAGTGAAGTCCCAAATGTAGCATTATAACTTTAGAAATTTGGAGGGGGTGGCCAGAGTTGATGCGGCGGGGYAGTGTAGCGGACGGTGGGGCGATGACTGTGCAGTGGGCGACGGCGGAGCGATGAGGCGGCGACGGTAGAGCAAGGGCGCGACAGTGAGAGCTTGAGTGAGGGGAGAGATTGAGCAGTGGGTGGAGCGTCGACAGGGTGGCGACGATGAGAGCTTGAGTGAGGGGAGAGATTGAACAGTGGGTGGAGCGACGACGGTGAGAGCTTGAATGGGAGAGATGAGGCATGAGGCAAGAAGAGGAAGATGAAAAAAAAAGGAAAAAGGGTTGAGATTAAAACCCATGGATGGTTGAGATTAAAGATGAAAATTTTATATGTATTATAATATATATATATATATATATATATATATATATAATTATAAAAATAAAAATAAAAAATAAAGTAGTAACTGGCCGGTCGGGTCAACCTGAAATTTTTAATGGCCAACTTGAGACCCGACCCGACCCGATCAAGTTGGAAATTTTCCAACCTAACCCAACCCAACCTACGGGTTAGGTTGGGTTCATCGGGTTCGTCGCGTTGTCGGGTTTTTTGAACACTCTTATTGACTAGTGAGCTATATTCGAATTATCTAAATTAATAGAATAGTTAATAAGTATAAAGCTAAACTTGTAAAATAATAATTATAATAATAATAATTTCAAAGAAAAAAAACTTGTAAAAAAATACAAGTAAACCACGTAATAATTTTCATAAAAAATTGATGATTGTATCATTGACTTAGTGTCAATATGTTCAATGAACACCTCGTTACACATAACACGCTCTCGAATGGCTTAAGTATTTAATTTCGATGTGCTTACTTCAACTTCCACTTTTGTTATTCTTTGGCAGATACACGACAACGAAATTGTCACAGTATATTTTTAATCACTTGGAAATAAAATCCACTATTCCAAGTCAAAAAATAAAACTCCTGAGTTCAATAGTCTATAATG